TTGCTGTGATTCATTTTCTAATTTTCCTTTAAATAATAAATGCCTTCGAAAAGTGATCTGTACTCTCTGGCACCACTTTGTCTTCACTTGTTTCTGTCCCCAATTTTCCCTGTATCTTCTAGTAGGTCTTTTGGCTCTAAAAGCAGTTTGAGTAAAACAGCTTCCTTACAGTCAAGTCTCTGTTGTGCTAACGAAACCTTTTTCTCAAGTATAAGTTTCCTCTATCTTGCTCCAAATCTATTTGTTGAGACTTTCTTCCAAAGTTTTCCAAATCTCACTTTTCACTTCTTGCTTCTCCTCCTTTTGTCCTTATTATTCTGTATTTTCTTCTAATCTGATTCTTCTTTCACTTCAGTAAGCACCTTTGAGGAATCTCTCTCGGCTCATGCCCTCCACTTTGAGAATTACCGGTCTGAATCTCTCTGCTCTTCTCCTCCCTCCCCCTTCTCTCCTCTTCCCTCCCCTCTCCCTCCTTTTCCCTCTTCCTCTTCCTCTTAGCAGTTGAGCACGTTCGTGAAGGCCTATGTACAAATGGGTTGAAGGGTGAAGAGCTACAGAAAAAGAGAATCGTAAGCAGGCAGACAGAGAGGAGCCCAGAGGCCACAGGACCCCAGAGAGAGGAGGAGATAAGAACTGCTTCACACCTAATGGGGCCTCAGTTCCAGCGGTCCTTCGTGAGGCCTTGCTGGGCTTCTTACTCCAGCGTTCCATGAGATGCCCCTTCATCTCCTCTCAATAAATCTCCCCATGCATTTAAGTTAGTTGAAGAGGCTCTTGTTTCTTGCATCCTCTAAACGTGAGACAACACCTTTATCTTTGAAGCATAGTCTTGGGCATTCTCCTTTTCCCCCACATGAAACCCAAATCAATTGGAGAATTTTAAAAAGTAACGCTCTCACCATCTTTGGATTGATGTCTCCTGAATATACAAGGGTGGGGCGAAAGTAGGTTTATAGTTGTTCATGTGAAAAATAATACAACAATTAATAAATAATAATACAAGAATAAATTCTGTTTTGCATACTCACAACTGTAAACCTACATTTGCCCCACCCCGTTAGTCTCTAAATTATTAAGTTTCTTTGCTTTCCAGAGGAATTTTCCAAAGGATGAGGCAATTTACAGATGTAGTTAAGAGTGTGGGCTTTGGGGTCAGACTATCTAAGTTGCCTGAGACCTCGGGACCTCTCTGTGCTTCTGCTTTCCCATCTGTAAAATTGGAACAATTGAAATACCTGCCTTATAGGGGTTTGTGAGAATTGAATGAGATAATGCATATGAAGCTCTTAGAACAGTGCTTGAAACATTATAAACCTGCAGTAAATGTTGTTGTTTTTATTTATAGCAACACATTTCCTCTTGGTTTTCCAAAAGAACTTGAACATATCAGTCTCAAGACTTCCCAACTTCCTTCCAAAGAGAGTACAACTGTATAGCTCCCTGGTCATCATTGGCTTCTCTGTTGACCTCAGGTCTCTTGGACTTCAGAGCCTGTGCTTATTCCATTAGACCAGAAGTTCCCAAATTTAACTGCATCTCAGATCCCATCAATATTGAATCAGAATCTTCCAGAATGGGACCTGGGATTCTGCAATTTAGAAAACTACTCAGTTAATTCTAATGGACCTGACCGTTGAATCAGAGTTTCAGGAACTACTGTGGATTATACTACTTTATACTCACTAACTTTACCTCTAATGTGGGGCAGTAAAGTAATGATATTTCCTATTCTTGTTAATCTAATATATTAGAATCTTTACTGTGTGCCAGGCACTGTGCTAAGGGTTTTCTATCACCTCATTTAATTCTCACAATAATCCTGTGAAGTAGATACTAGATTATTCTCATATTACATATGGGTAAACTGAAGTACAAAGAGGTTAAATTAGTTGATAAAAGTCATTTCGGCTAGCAAGTGTGGAGAGCAAGCATGCCATTTGCTGAGGTTAATGTGAAGATTATAGTAGGCAATGCACTTAAAACTGATGTACGGTGGGTGCTCAATAAGTCCAGACGCCATATTTCCTTTTTGCTTCATTTTATCCATGTGATTCTATTCATACCCAGTGAGTTTTATATTGAGGACAATATTATGATCTTTAACAGTGCCTGGATAATTAAAAATTTAATATTCTGGAAGAAAAACATAAAGGGGAATTAGATATCAATGGAAGATGGAGGTTTCTGGGATCTCTAACAGAGAGAAATACAAGAGAAAGTATAATTTATGTGCGGAAGAACTGGTGCCTGTGAGCAGAAATAGCGGTGTGACCACTGAGGCCACAGGGTTACTGTGAGGATAGGGAAAGAGGAAAACCAAGGTATGAGGATAGAACCACGTCGTCTCAGGGGCACAGAGGCTTAAACAGATGCCTATTCCAGCCCCACTTCTGCCACATGCTCTTCCAGTTCTCACTTGGACACTTTCTGTGACAAAAATCTTAAGTTATGAAGGCCGAGGAGGCTCTAGTTAGAAAATTCTTCATATTCATTCATTCTAGAGTTTCTGCCTCCAGGTCCCCCTTAAATCCCTTTAGAACCCTGCAGAGTAAGTCTTAAGTTCTTTTGTACTTGACAGTTCCTTAAATACATAAAGACAGTTACGTTGTACCCCCTGGGGCAAAAGCTTCTGTTTCCTTTAATCTTTCCTCATATGACATACATAGTTCCCAGTCTCTTTACATCCCTCTCTCTGTACATGTAGAAAGTTTTTGTTAGCCAAGCACTAGTTGGAGACAACATTCCATGAGCGTAATGGCCAGCACTGCGCAGCACTGTAACACCCATCTTGCTTCATATCCCACTTTTATCAACACAGCCTAAGACAGCCTTCATTCATTTTGGCAGCCACATTCCACTGAGGGCTCAGATTGAGCTGTCTGTCAGCTAAGATCCATTTTAGTCTTGCTTTTACATGCAACTATTAAGAAATCTCTGCCCCAAGCCCGCCTTTCAGCAGTTGGTTTCCCAGTGTGGGACCGCCTACATTTACCCCTGCTAGAGTCAGTTCCTTGCTACATTGTTGCATTTGGTTTGTGTTGTATAATGGTGTCTCTTCCCCTTCAGCTTTTTGTCATTTGGAAATGTGATACAAACTCTCTGGGGTTTCATTCGGAAAAGGAATAGAAGTCCTGACATCTGGGCCCTGGAGAAAGACTTATGTCTTCCTGATGGTAACTGGTGTGGAATGCAAGTTCTGAAGTCAAACAAACCTGGTTTGAATTATGGTTCTGCCACCTACTGTGTGACCTTCGGCCAGCTGGTTAAACTGGGAATTTCAGTTTCCTCATCTATAAAATGGGGCCATGAAGATTAAGGGAGAAGATGCAGAGAAAGGATTTAGCACAGAGTAGATGCTGCACAAATGCCGATTCTCCCCACCCTTTCTTCTGGTCAACATGGATTCATTAATCAACATCTTTTGGTTATGGTTACTTAACGTTATTCACCCGATTAATTATACTAGAGTGCAGCCTCACATTTCTTCATCTTGTCTACCATCTCTTAAAAAGTATATTGCTAAAATCCCACTTACAGAGTAGTCTGTTCGAATCAGAGGAGAGACGAAGTAATCAGCAGTATGATTCTACCTGGATGTAAACTTAGGAAAAATAAGCTACCAATGAAGTTGGTTGACCTTGAAAACAGTCAATCCTCAGGCCACAAGCAGCATGAGGCAACCACTCTGTGCCTGGCCATGAGCTGGAAATGGGCAACAGTTTTACGACGACTAAAACTCAGTGTCTGTGTTGAAGGAACAAGGATAGAATTCTAGAGTCAGAGGGGCTGGTCTGGGTCATGGGAATGAGTGCAGTGATTTAGTGCCATTTGTTCACTATCCAGTCAACAAATATTTATGCCAGGCCCCTGCCCCTAACCCTCCGTCTCAACCTTGTTAGGTGCTAAAGGGGTGTGGATGAGTATAACAAAAAAGAGACTGTCCTGGTATTCACGGAGTTTAACATCTGAAAGTGTTGGAAGTCCTTTGTGCCAAAGGCCCTCTGCTAAGTGCTTGGGATGCAGAAAATAAGACAAATTGTATCTTATTATAAAATGTTTATTTTCTGTAACGATTTATTTCCTTCTGTCTCACTCCGGAGACAGCTGTTTGCGCTAGAGACCACAGCTGCTGGGATGGTGTCTGCCACACAGTAGGTGGTCAAAACTCGGCTACTGGAAGAAAATGCAATGGAATCGCTCCAGGTTTCAGTTTTCTTTTTGAACGAGAATGACAGTTCAAACGGGACGCCTGGAGGTCAGAGTAACTAAAAGAACACTTGCATGGAAAAGCCTTCTAGAAATAAGTATTCGTTCTGTCGTTTGGACTTTGGCAAACCAGCGTGTTTTAGGTCCTCGTGTTCCTAAAATTGATTTCCTAGATGGAGTTGGAGGGAGGGCGATGAGGAAATGCTGCTTTTAGTCAGGATGCCCCAAGTGAAGAAGGGGAAGGAGAGTGGTGAGCCAGACGCAAGCCACGGATCCAGGGAAGAGGGACATCCCAGGCGACGGCAAGGAGAGCGGAGTCTGCACCCGCAGCGGCAGCTGCGAGCCGGAGACCTGAGGGGAAAGAGAGAGGGCAGAGGCGAGGAAATCCAGGGAAAGCGCGCAGATTGGTCCTCCGCTCGGGGCGTGCGCCTCTGTGTACCAAGCGATTGGTGGCGGGAAAGTATCAGGTAAACCGGCCCTCGCCGCCTTGCCATTGGCTAGCGGTCTCTCCAGCAGCCACTCAACTGGCCAGTAGGGCGCCGAGCAACGCGCGGATTGGCCGGGAGCTACACCCGAGTTCGGCTCCCTTCGGACCCTTTTATTGGCTAGCGGGAAGAGGCAGGTATCCGGGCTCCGCCGCTCCTCCATTGGTGGGCGGGAAAAGGGGGTTGGGCACAGCGATTGGTGGGCGGGGGGCCGGGCCTGGGCCGGCGGGGAGCGGATTGGTCGGAAAGTAGGTTAGTGGTGCGACATTTAGGGAAGGCAGAAAGTAGGTCAGGGACGGAGGTGCCTGTTTACCCGCGCCGGACTCACCGCCGCCGCCGCCGCGGGATCGGAGTGGGGGCGCGGGCGCGGGCGCTCTCGGCGAGCCACGGTGAGTGTCGGGCTGTCGGCGGTCAGCGGCATGGCTCTGAGCACCCCGTCGGGGGCCGTTAGCACCCTGGCAGGCATGGCGACCCCGCCGCCGCCCGGGTCGCAGCCCGGCCGCCAGGGAACCCTGCCCGACGTGCCCGCTGCCGGCCTTAAAGGGCCAGTGCCCGCTCCCTGCCCCCACCCCAGGCCGTGGGGAGGCTGCGCCCCTTAAAGGCGCCGCGCCCGTGCGTCCGCATCCTCCCTCACAGGGGCTAGCGCTGCGGGGTAGGGTGGTCAGAGGTGCCGCAGGCACCCCTAAAGGGACCAGGAAAGTACCTACCTCCGCTCCGCGGGCATCGCTACCTGAAGGGGGTAGGGAGCAGCCAGCTGCCTCTTAAAGGGACAGCTCCGCCTTTTGGGAGCAATGACCGGCTGAGGGCGAGTCCCTGGGATGTATCTTGGAGAGCTGCGGAGACCCCGGAGGGGACTATCCTTGATGGCTGCATCGCCAAGGGCGTTGGGCTAGCGATGCCGCTTCTGCCTTTCCTTCTCCTCTCCTTCACTTCCCTTTCGGGAGTCTGCAGAGCTGGGTGGGGGCGGGGAGGGCGGCTCCGTCGGGCTTAGGGAGTCCGAGCCTGCCCGCCCCTTCGGCCCAGTCTTGGGGGCTGGCGCTACACCCGGGTAACTGCGGCCCGACACGGGGCTGACCCCAGCCTGCGAACTTTCGTACGGCCTGCGCCGTCTGGGTTCTGGATAGCCCCAGGGGTAGCTCCCGTGGGTATGAAAGCAGGTGCCGCACCGCGCGGGATGTCGCCCGGCGTCCAGGTGTGGGCCCGCCGCCGGTCCTGGAGCTCCCGAGCGCCGTGGAGGGCGCAGCGAGGCCGGCTCTAGCTCCAGGTTTGACAGATGTCAGAGAAGAAAAAGGTTCCCGCTCGTGATTGCGGGGCGTTGACAGTCAAAAGAGCTTTCGTTTGCTTGGAGGAAGTAGAATAGAAATTAATGCCGACCTTGTGGGGCACGAGTCAACCACCCCGAGGGGTCGCAAGAGCAGGCTGCGGGGCACACGCAGGTGCCAGAGGGCAGGCGCAGGGGAAGGAAGTGCTACACCGGCCTTTGGCATCTGTTGTCAAGTTTATCCTGGTCGGCGGGTGGACCAGGCTGACACCCCTCACACCACATTCCTCGTCCCCTTTCCTCTCCCTCACGGGCTAGGCTTATTCCCGGGCATATAGCGTTGTTTTGGCATTTTGGCGCTTGCGATTTCTTTTCTCTGCTTAGTTACTCCTGCGTGAGAAATGATTAGCCAAGTTTTATCACCCAACTTCCAGAAAAAAACGATTCGATATTTATGAAGCATTTCTTGACTGTACCTGTGTTTACAGGGTCTTCTTAAAAAAAAAAAATCCATAAAAATTGCCGATTAGATGCATCTCATTTGCCCCAACAATTGCTTGTCTTTTGCCTTTCTGACATTTGCTGCTGTTCTCATCTTTAATCTATTTTTACATGACAACTATTATTTTAATTCTTCTAGTCCCATTGATATCAGGATCTGTCAATTTGGGTTGGTGGAGCTCTTAATTAATGTACTGGTTGAATCATGAGCTTAAAATAATCATTGCTGCTCCTGAGCAGTTTTGAATATCTCGTGCTCTCTGTGCTTGCAAGAAAGAAAAAAAAAAAAAATCACTGCTGTTAAATTTGATTTCCATATCAATGAAATTCCAAAAATATTTTTTAAAACAGTTTTAAAAAAAAGAATGTTTCAGTCCATGCTCCCTTACTGAGTTTGCTTTATTGATAAGTCTTTAAAGCAGTTTGTTGAACATATTTAGAAGGCTTTAAAATTTCCTGGGCATGATTTGAAATTGTATCTCCTGAAGCAGGATCTATAGAGGCATTTTGGTTTTGATTGTAAATGTAGCCAGTGAATAATGATAATAAGTTAAAACCATACTTAAATATGCACATTATTCCAATCCATAAAATTTAAAATGAGGGAGAGAGAAAGGAACAAGTATGGTGGACGAGCACTAGCCTGAGAGTTAAAACATTGTGGCTCCAGCCCAAACTTGGGATTTCATGGCTATGCTGCTTGGGACAAGTTGCTGAACCTTTCTGGGTTCTGTTTGCCTCAGATGGAAAGTAAGGTAGTCCAACCAGGTTATCTCAAAGGTTCCTTCTCCTATAAAGTTCTGTGTGTCTCTATTTAATACATTCAAATTCAGGTTGATATTTTACCTGCTGAAGCATCCAGAATATCTGAGCTGAAATCCTATTTTCATAGAAGCTTAAACAGATCAACAGATGGTGTTTTAAAGACTCCATTTCAAATGATTTATAAAATGATGACTTCTTAGGAGTTTTTCTGCTATTTGCAAAAGGTTTGCCTACCGCAGGGAGGAAAAGTGGCTGTGCTTTCAGATTTATCCCTCTATACGAACAACCTTTAACCAATTTATATACTAAATGATGGACAAGCATTGTAGAAAGACTTGGCTATGTTAACAAAACTCTGTAAGAATATGTAAGGGTTGCCTTCCTTCTATGACCTTACTTTCATTTGTGATTTCCATCATCAACACTGAGCGGGGTGGAAGAAAGTCAGCATTATAGAAACATTGCCCCTTACAATGACACAATTACAGGCAGTGATTTTAGTTTGTGTCATGGTAAACACTTGCAGGGAAGTAAAAGTAACAAAACAAAACAAATCCTTTGTAAACCTTAAGGTTTAGTTAGGAGCCCAGAGACACAGGCATGTTGTCCTTCTCTATAGCTCCTTCTCTCCTCATTGCCACTTTATTACAATACCCAGACTTACCCCAACTCCACCCTGGCGTTCGTTCTTCTCTCTCTCTCTCTCTCTCTCCCCCTCTCTCTCACCTGTTCTGTCTGACTTAAGTTCCCTCAGTATCTCTTCCTTTCTGCCCATAATGTCCTGTCTCTTTCCCCTATGTCTCCTCTCCTCCTAGTTCAGAAAAAGCAAGTGAATCTCTCCTCTGTTCCCTCTTCTTGGACCCTCACTTTGGGTGGATGCCTGGAGTTCAGCAGCAGGATTTAGGGCCTGGGTTTGGGATGCGTGGCCCTGGAAAGTGCTGGCCCCTCTGGCCGCCGGCTCCTCTTCTGTGGTGTTCCGACAGTGCCTGCCTCACGGAGTCTGTGTGAGGATCAAGGGAGCAAGGGAGATGATGCCTGTCAAATGCCTGGCACTCAGGAAGCCCTCCCTCGGTGCCTGCTGCCACTCCCTCCCTCTGCTGCCAGAGTCCTCTCACCGGAATATCCTTCATACCTTTTTTTTCCTTTGGCCTCGTCACCAACCCCAGAAAAACCTCTGTCTTGATTTAGGAGAGGAGGGATGGAAGGGGGAGAAATAGATCTGTTACGGGCCTGCTTTCACATGCCCGCACTTCGTCCCCTGAGTCTGTGTGTCCCTGGCTCTCCTCCCTGCCCGGCAACCTCTCACAGGCTGTGAACGTTCACCTTATCTACTCTCTCATCTGCTGCATCCTTAGCTCCTGCCCTCTGGCTTCTCCCTCTACCACCCTTGTCTATATTTCTTTTCAAAGATCTCTAAAAACTTTAAACCCTGAATTCTAGGGGCCTGTTCTTAGTCCAAAATGGTTGTTCTTGGCTCCTTTGCAGTTTTTACCCTGCCTTTCTTTCCCTCCTTGAAATCCCTTCCTTCTTCTGCCTTTGGGTCAAGATGCTTTTTTGGTTCTCTTCCTGCATGCCCTAAAGGTAGGCGTCTGTCCTGGCCTCCACTCTTCACCTTATCCCCCTTGCCTAGAATCCCACTTTTAGTCCTGATCTGATCTCTCTCTCCTGCTTCAGCTGCGAGCAGGTTCACTGTACACAGACAGCAGCCTGTAGCCTGCATTTGTGGAGTTACAGATTGCAGACGGCTTGCAAGCTCTGTCACCCTCCTAACACCTGATGCCTGTACCCTTTCACTCGCAAGCTGTCCTGAGAGGCAGCTTGGTGGGGTGGTTACGAACACAGACTTTGGGTCCAGATTTCATATTCTGTTTCTTACTAGGTGTATGACATGTGGTCACGTTGCTTTGTTCTCTGTCTTGGTGTCCTCATCTGTAAGACTGAGATCCCTATAGTCCTTATCTCAAAGAGTTGCAGTGTGGATCATATGAGTTAGAACATTAAAAATACATGCAGCTATTCATGGCACGTAGTAAGTACTCCATGGATGTTAGCTGTCTGCATTTCTGCTCCTTCTTGCCTCTCCATATCCAGCCCACCTGTCTACCAGGCTTTGCTGTGTGCACAGAACTGTCCAGTCAAACTGAAGGACTGTTCATTCCCTGAACCAGCCCTTGGCCCATTCCATGCCCCAACTTTCTGATACCTGAATCCTACACTCCTTTAAGACCCAGCTCAAATGCTTGGTCCTTCAAGCTATTTCTTTGTAGTGTTTTTCTTTCTCTCCATGCCTGGCAGCAGTGCGCCCCAGCCCTTATTCTACCGAATTCCCTTAAGTACTGATGCTTTTTCTGGGAATATCTCACCAGCTTGCTCAGGGCAAGCACTTTGGGGGAATCCATCTTGATTTCCCAAAATGACAGGCACAAGGAGCCTTCAGGATCTGTTTGTCCAATTCCAATGAACTGTCTGGAGGAGGAAGGAGATGGGATGAGATAGACACTTAGGAACTAAGCAGATAGAAGGAAGGGGGCTACGCCTGTGGAGACGTGGGGACATGAGCTGAGGAATGCAGCAAGGGCGTGAGTGGACATGGTCACAAGTACATAGGTCTGCTTGGAAGGACGGTTTGAGTTGGCAAATTAACATCTGGGGAGATGGAATTGGATAAGCTTTAGTCATCTTTGTTTCAGGGGAATGTTGAGTGCTGACATTTGATGGCAAATGATTTTTATGTTAGTACATGCTGTTCTTTTAAGTAGTATAAATTCTTGTTTATCCATCCTGGTTAAAGAAGGGGTTGGATGGTCTGCCTAATTTAATGTTCTGGTTAATATTCTATCCATTGGATTTTGTACATATACT